TAAATTAAAAAATTAAAAATCGTGTCGGTGTCGGTGTCGAAGTCGGTGTGGATCGTGTCGTGCATGCAACAGAATAATATAACATATTCCCAGCCGTCACAGTTGTGTTACGTTACTGGATCATACCCAGCCGAAACACAAACAGTTGGGAAGAATAGACATGACCTTGACCTTTCTGCGTCCAGTGTGCCCAAATTCACGCTTTCCTTCACAAATGGCAAACGCAAAAACACACTGCATACATACGGACAGACACACATTGCTTACATACGGACAGACACACGGACAGACACACATTGCATACTTGCAGATAGACACACGGACAGACGCACATTGCATACATGTGGATAGACACACATTGCATACATGTGGATAGACACACATTATATACATTACAGACGCATGCGGATAGAAATACGGACAGAGACACATTGCATACATGCGGATAGACACACATTGCATACATACAGAGAGACATACATTATATACATACGGATAGACACACATGCATGCTAACAGAGACACATTTGAACACACATTTACACTAGATTAGACACACACACACACACACACACACACACACACACACACACACACAACACACACACACACACATACACACACAAACAGCAAATACAAACGCACATATACATATGAATAGACACGCATACACACTGAAATACATACATACACACAAATATATAATATACACACGAACACACACATACACACAAGCGACATACATCAACTCACAAATATACACACACACGAACACATACATGTACACAGAGGGCAAAACACAAACATACACATACACATGAACAGACACATATACATACAAACGACAAACACATGTATACTCACGAATATACACGCATATACACTAAAACACACAAACACACGTAATATACACACACATACATTCATACAAACAACAAACATAAACAAAACATGTAGATATCCATACACAAACGTAAACATACACACATATAAAAAACACATATAAACACACACGTGCACACACACACACACACACACACACA